GGGGGGGGGGGGGGGGGGGGGGTGGGTGGAGAGGCTGGAGGGCACCCCATCTGAGACTGAGAGGCGGGGCTGTACTCCCAAGGGGGCGTGGCTAGCCCGGGGGCGGGGCTAGCAGTTTGGAGCCCGGCCTGGGAGCACGCGTGGCCGGAGACACAGGCCAGAGAGGAGGGGCCGAAGATCCGAGAGGAGTGTGGCTAGAGGTATAAGTGGAGGTGCGGCGGGGACCCATCGTCTTAAGGACTGAGCTGTGGGGAGGGGCTTTCATAACAAGAGAACAAGAGTTGAGTTGAGGATGGGGTTGCGAAGAAAGGGCAGGACCCTCAAGTGGTGTAGGATGGAGGCTGGAGGTAGGACTGGCCTCCTTGGAGGCTTGAATGTGTGTGACTGTGCCCTATTGTGGGCTCTCTGACCCTAAGACCTGCAGAACGCCCGTGGGAGAGGGAATCCAGCGAATGGGGGTGCGTGGGTAATGAGTGGTGGACCGGCAGACGTGGTATTCCTGGTATTTACTGTAAATGGTGCTGACCTGGCCCTGGCCCAGCAGCGCACTGTGGGATTCACCTCTGAGCTTCCCAGAAGAGGCAGTGAGAGACCTCAGTTCCACGACTGTCTGGGAACCCAATCTGCTGTGTGTCTCTGGTGGAGAAATTTGCCCTCTCTGGGCCTGTTAACCTACTGTCAGGTTGGACCACATGGGCGTACTGGAAGGAGTCTCTGATTGTGAGCTGAGACCTGAAGCAAGAGGGATCCGAGAGGATGCTCTAGTGGGCAGGGCATCGAGGCTGGCACAGACTGGAGCCCAGGGATTGAGGAGGGGAAAGCAGGTCTGGGCCAGATGCCCCACAGCAGTGGCCCCGGGACTAGAGGGCTGGGCAGAGCACGGTGAGAAGGGGTAAGAAGAGTTGTGGTGCGGGCAGCAGGGAGCAGCATGGCCATCACCACCCCCAGCAGGCCCTGGGCTAGCACTTTCTGTGCAGCATCTCATTTCATCCTTCCCCCGGCTTGGGCAGTCCCTGAGGAGGACACAGAGGTCCAGAGAAGTGAAGTGACTTGCCTGAGGCCACAGAGCAAGTTAAGCAGCTGGGCCTCAACCCCAGGGCTGTGACCTCAGAGCCCCCGGGCCGTCCTGTAGGCAGTGACCTGCTTTTACTTAACCCTCTGCCTGCCACCCCTCAGCCTCAGCTCGGCTCCGGTAAAAGTAGACCCACTCTACACTCTCAGAAGTGGGGACCATTGCCCCACTTCACTGATGGGGAAACTGAGGGATAGAGAAGTCAGACCCTGTTCAGGGCTGCGCAGCCGAAATGGTAGGTCCCAAGCCCATGTCCTTAACCCCTACACCATCCTGCCTCTTCCCACGAAGAGTTTCTCCTTGATTTTCTTTAGCTCATTATTCATCTAACTCCATTACGCTCCAAGGAATTAGCCGCTTTGAATCTCAGTCTGTGCCAGGCTCTCTGCTAAGCACTACATATGTTAAACTGTTCTCCTCACAGAGACCCAGAAAGTAGGCCACTGTTGCTATTTCCATTTCACAGATGGGGAGACTGAGGCACAGAGAAGCCAGGAAGTGTCCCATTGCCGCCCTAGTCCGAGCCCCCGAGGCAGGCCCCACCAGTCTCCCCCGGCAGGATGTGGGCGCTCACCTCGGCGCTCCGGCTCCGGGCCTCCATGGCGCTGCTGGGAGTCGCGTGGGCCCCGGGCGCCCGCTTCCTCTCTCCCTTCTGCTGCAGGACCAGCTTCAGTTCTGCATGGAGCAGCTGCCTCTGTGCCTGCGGGGGGCAGGGATGGAGGCTTGAGCCCAGGAGAGGGGAGGGGAGGAGGGGGGGCTTGGAGGGGCAGGTCGAGGGGAGAAGGGCCCCCCACCCCGCTGTCCTCTCACCACAGCCTGGGCACAGCCACCCCCTCCTAACAGGAGCCCAGCCTGGGGTGCCACACAGTCGTCTGCGAGCCTCGCACCCTTCCTCGGGGGTCTTGCTGCCTGCCAGGGAGAGACCAGGGCGTGAGGCTCCAGGCAGGCCAGGGAGGGGCAGGGAGGGGCATGTGGCACCGGCCAGGGCTCACCTCAGGGTCACCTCCAGCTCCTTGGGCCTCCTGGGTCCCGGGCTCTAAGAAGAAGAACATTACTGTCAGCTAACCCCACTGATGGTCTCCTGAGGGCCTGACCCTTCCGGCGCTCTGTCAGTACTCTATCCCCCAGAGCAGGTGGGGAAACTGAGGCACAGAAGACCTCTACCCAAGGTGACACAGCTGGAAAACAAACAGTAAAGCCAGAACTGACCCCTAGGCCTATGACAGCAGAGCCCCTGTGCCAACCACCTCGGCTGACCGAGGGGGCCAAATTCACTATAAAATCATGGCAACTGCTCCCATGTACTCCCCGTGGGCAAGTCACCCCACCTCTCTGTGCCTCAGTTTCCTCATCTATAAAACAGGGAGAATGAGATCTCCTACTTCACGGGGCTGTTGGGAGGGTCAAATGGGTTAATAAATATCAAGTGGCAGGCACGTGGTGGGCGCTTCATAAGCATTTGCTATTGTTATTATTATTATTATTAAGAACTTCCTGTGGTCCTGTCTCATGTCCAGTGTCCCACAGGGGTCATTGCATGGGGACCTCAGAATACCCAGTACAATGATGAAGCCCCTTACAAAGAAGACACCTGAGGCTGGGAGGAGGGAAGTCACGTGCTCAGGTCACAAATGAACTTGTCTTGAAAGCTGCGTTCTCTTATGCAGATAATAGATAATAATAACTAATGGGCACTGAGTGGTTACTCTGTGCCAGTTGTGTGCTGAAACCTTCGCTTTCCGCCTCACCAAGGAAAACCCTAGCCCTTCAGAGAGGCCAAGAGCCTGGCTCAAGGTCACACAGTACAGTGAGAAGGAAGCAGAGCTGGGATCCGCAAGCAGCCTCAAAGGGGATGGACACTGTCTCCTTGCCACCCCCTCCCCGACTGTGGCCTTGTCCTCCCGGCCCCCACCTGGCATGCCAACCCGCCAACCCGCACTCCCCGGGGAAAGGTCAGGCCTCACGCGGCACATTCCGTCACACAATGGCCCGTCTGCTGTGCTCAGTCACATTCCGCCCCTGCCCACCCACCCCAGCCGCACAATGGCCCTTCATAGCCCACCACTGGCCAGGATAGAGGACACAGGGACCCCCTCAATGCTCCAGCTGGCCGTACTCCACTGGCTGGCCCCCCACAGCGTCGGAGGGCTCCTCTCTGGCTCTCCTAGGAGTCCCGGTCTTCATTCCTTTCCCAACCTCCTCTCTGAGCCCCTAGCCCCTCCAACTAGGGTTGGCTGCCCCCTCTGGGGCATTTCCTCTGAACTGGGCCCTGTGCTGGCACACACAGGCCTTGAAATCCCCCGAGAGAGGGCTGTTTTAGGGTTGGAAACTGAGGCTCAGAGAGGGGAGGTGACCTGCCTGGGATCACACAGCTAGGACGCATGCCCTTGACACCAACTCTGCACCTTCACTTGCATTGGTGGCTCTGAGCCCTGGAGGAGGCCCAAGCTGCAAAACAGCTGGGGCGGGAGCTGGGCTGGGCCAGAGGAGGCGTTGAAGGTGCCAGAAACAGGCATTTTTAGAGGGACCTTGTTGGTGTCAACCCTGAGCCGGGTGGCACTTTATAGACGTGGCCTCATGGTAGCCCGTTTTACTGATGAATAAATGAGAATTAAGAGTCGGGATGCCACACTGATGACATCGGGACTCGAACCCAGGTCTGAAAAGCTAGCGCCGAGTCCCTGACACTACACGGCATCCTGAACAGGCCGGGGAGAAGCCTGGTACTTGTGAGGAGGAAGTAGAGACGGACGGAAGGATCTCCTGGGCCGCAAGTGCCCTGTTCCAGGCCAGGGCCAGTGAGGGTCACGCCCAGAGGCTGGCACAGGAAGCTCATCCCGGGCGGAGGCCGGAGAGTGCCCTCCCTCCGCATCCCGGCCCGGGACAGCCGCCCAGCCCAGGTTATATTTAGCCCAGCTGTGCCCTTCCTGAGCCACGTACCCAGCTCCCGGTGGCGGGGGGGTGGTGGGGGCAGCTTCGGAAGGAAGCCCACCCCACCCCACCCCAGGCACTCTCTGTTCCCAGCTCTGCCCGTCCCACTAGGCTTGGAAGGAGAGGCGGGGATGTTGCTGGGAGGTCCCTGGCTTGCGTTAGGGAAAGCTCTAACTAACGGGGCACCCCTGGTGAGTCCAAGCCAGGCAGGACCCACCTCCCCCAGATGCCAACAGCCCATTTCTTGAGCTGTGGCACTGCCCTACTACATTGCTGAGCTTCCAGAATTCTCAGAGTCCCCATTTCTTGAGCACTTACTATGTACCAAACCCTCCCCTTCTGCCTTGGCTCATGAAGTCCTCGCCACACCTCCCTGGGGAAGGTCCAACTTACATGCCCACTGAAGATGCTGCTCATGCCTTCGGAGCGGCTGGGGGCAGGGGCTGTCACCTGGGCCCTGGGCCCTTCAGCTGAGCTGGGCTTGCTGAGGGATCCCCCAGCTCTGTCTGCCCCCCTGCACCCTCCCGGCCGCCACTTCATTTAGGAAGTGTCCGCACTCAGAACCTCGGCTTCCCCAACCACCAGGGATCTGGCGCCCTCAGCAATGGGCGTGGGGGTTGACGTGACTCATCCGGGCCCCTGGACATTAGCAGAGGCTGTCGGGTTTGAACACTTGGGCAAGGGATGTCACCTCTCAGGGCCTCAGTTTCTTCATCTGTAAAATGGAGCCGGTAAGAGTGGCTCTGAGATAACAGCAGGTCCTTAGAATAGTCTCAGTATATAGCAGGTGCTCAAGTAACGTATGCTAGTCTCTGACAGCAAGTGGTGGCCGGCTGTGCATCTCACAGCATCTCATATCCAGCCTGCGCTCACCAGTGGTCCCAACTTTCTCCCTTACCAAAGGGGGACTTGGGGTGAGCGACAAAACCCAGCTCGCGCCCCGGCCTCCCACCAACAGGGTCTGCGCTGCCTCCCCAGCACCCCATTCCAGGGACCGAAAAGCCTGGCCCTCTCTCGGCTCTTTTTAAGCACCAACTCAGTGACTCGCAAGTCAGCCCTGCAAGGTGGCCGCCATAGGCCCATTGCAGAGATGGGAAAGCAGAGGCTCGAAGGGTGAAGCATCTCACCCTGGGGCCGCACAGCCAGAAGGAGGAGAATGTTGGGATTTGAACCCAGGGTCCGGCTCCAAAGTCTGGGCCTTTAACTCCTACATCCTGCTGCCTCCTGAGCCCCAGGCACCCTCCCAGCACCTCCCAGGACCCTGGGTCTCATTCCCATGGCTTCTCAGCCTGGCCAGGGGAGGGACTGGCTGGCTGATCTCTTACCACTGGGCCTCCAGACACCTCGAGAGCTCCCGGTCTGTCTGCTCAGCCCCAGCCCGGGGCTGGGGGGGAAAAGGGATGGGGAGGGGGAGGGGGGGAGACCCCAGCCATTGGCTGCCGGGGCATGACATCACCAGGGGGTGGGTGGTGGGGAAACAAACATCCCCTCTCCCAGCTGGATCCACCGCAAGCGCGTGGGGAGCCAGGAGACACCGCCGCTCCAGCGCCTGGGCCGAGACCTCCACCAGGAGCCCCACTCCAGGGACTTTCCACGTTGTCACCGCCACTTGGAGACTCTGCACCCCACCAGCCCTATGTCCCGGCTTCCAGACCCAGGCATGGCCCCGCTGGTTCTTGGGGCCCCTGAGATAAACTCCTTCCACTCTTTCTCCTGGTCAGTTTGGGTTCCAGTCCCAGCTCGGCCACTTCCTGGCTGTGTGACCTCTGGCAAGTCACAGCATCTCTCTGGGCCTCCGTTTCTTCATCTCCAAAACAGAGATCATTAAAGTGCCCACCTCAAGGGGTTGTTGTGAAGATTAAATGAGTTAAAAGAGGCCAAAAACTTTTCAAAGTGCCTGGCGCAGAGTGAATGCCCCTTGTAAGTATTTTGTATTATTATTCATACAAATTAGCGCGCTGGTTAGACTTGTCAGGGGGTTTTGGCCTGAGCGGGACCGGGCACAGGGGAACCCCACTTCTCTGTTTAAGGGGGTTTCCATTGGAGGGGACACCTCTCATGTGGTAAGTACTGTGCTGGGCCCCGAAGTTCTGCTCTTTGAATCGAGGTCGCAAGGAGAAAGGATTATGCCAAATTTTTAGCCACACAGCCAGGAGGTGGTGAAGCCGGGGTCCGGCCCCAGTTCTGCTGGGCCCCAAAGACCCTGCAACACTCTTCTGTCCCCTTCATGTAACAGACAAGGAGGCTCCGGGAGGGGACGTGATACCCAGGGCCATCCACACCAGGTCATCCATGGCACCAGGATTTGAACCCAGACCTGCCCAACTCTCAAACCAAGGCCAGCAGGCCTCACCCTGACCCCCCGGCCCCCAGCCCCCAGCCTGCCCCGACTCACCGGTACCCGGGGGGCGGCACAGGGAGCACAAGTACCCCCACATGCCACTCGCGCCCACCCGGCCGCTGCCTCGGCCGCTGGTGGCTCTCTGAGCCCAGGCCTGGGGCCGGCCCGGGATGAGGCCAGGATTACCCCCAAAGCGCGCGTCAGCAGCTTCTGTCCCATTGTCCAGCCAGGCGCGGCCATCAGGCCCTCACCTCGGTGGGCACCCTTGCCCCTCACACCAGCTCAGCTGGCCCCTCTGTGGACCTGACCCCCTCCCCACACCAAGCAGTGGGGACCTGCTCCTGAGGGCATAAGAGACCAAGGACAGGTTGGCAGGATCCCAGAATGCTAGGGCTCCCCCCGTCTCTTCTCTCCGAAATGCCCCCTGCCCACTCTCAGCCGCCGGGGAAGGCAGGAATGTGCTGAGCTCCAGGAAATGCCTTCCAGGCCTGGCAGCCACCAAGGGTTGGGGTGTGGCCGGAACCCAGCCAGGAGCCTCCTTCGGGAGAGGTGGAGGGACAGTGTGGTCAGGGCTGCTGATGGGCCTGAGGAGACCCTCACCCCACTGCAGTCCCTCTCTCTGTCATTCACTGATTCGTCCAAACATTCATTTTTCATTTATTCATTCAACAAACATTCACAAGCACTTGTTGGGTGGCAGGCCCTTTGCTGGGCACTGGGGAGGCCGAAAGGCCTAAAATCACCAAGTGGGACAGGCTTAGGAAAGGCTTCCTGGAGGAGGTGACATCTGAAGTCAAACTGAGGAGGAGGGAGCCAGGAGGGACAAACGTGGGCAAAGAACCAGTGAGGAGAATGCAGCTAGTCCTTCACCCAGTGTCAGCAGTCAGTGCGCGCCTGGTCTTGTGCCCAGCCCCATGCTGGAGAGCGCTGGGGACATAATGTGACCAAGATAGCCCGGGCCTGCTTCCACAGAGGTCACAGTCCACCAGGGAGACAGACCCAGAACAGCCACGGTTGTGATGGAGGAATCACAGGCAGAAGGTGCCTGCTCCACCCTAGGAAAGGAGGTCAGGGAAGGCTTCCTGGAGGAGGGGACATGTGAGCTGAGGCTTGAATGACCCATAGGAGCTAGGCAAGAGAAGAGGGAGGGGAACAGTGTTGTGGGCAGAGGGAACAGCCTGTGCAAAGGACCTGAATCCAGAGAGAGCTGAGCACAGAAGAAATTTCCAGGAGCTTAAAACGGTGTCCTTGTTCCTGCCTGTGTCCCCAGGGCCGAGCATCCCTCTTCCTTAGCGTCTCCTTCTCCTTTATACATTTATTCACCAGCTGTTCGCAGACACCGCCTCTGTATCCATCCCTGGGCCGGGCAGTGCTGAGGACTCAACAGTGACCATGACTGTGCCCTCACAGGACTCACAGGCAGACAGATCGGACATTAAAGAAGTGATCAACAGAACGAGTGTAAAGTTACACACCGAGCTAAGTGCTGTGAGAGATGGATGCAGGTCTATCAGAGGAGCCTGGCACTCTGGGACTGTCAGAAAGGGCAGGGAGGGCTTCCCAGAGGAGGTAACATTTGAGTGGGCACCTGACGGATACATAGGAGTTCATGCAAAGCTGCAAGTGGTGGATACACGAGAATGGATTTCAGAGAGAGGCAACAGCTATGCAAAGGGCCTCTCTGAGAAAGTGGTGAATGTGACAGTGTGGGGAGACCCCGAGGGGAGGGCCATGGGGACAGGCTGGACTTTGTTCTGAGGGCCCCCGATGTCTATGGGAGGGACAGAGTCAGAGCTTGAGGGTGGAAAGATCCTGACTACAGGCCCGGCTAGACAGTTGGGATGAAAATCCACCCCTCTCTGCTCAGGGTCAGACAGATGAGGGAGGCGGGTCCGCGCTCTCCTGTCTCTCTGTGTCTCAGAGGTGCCCTTGCTCCTTGCCAGTCCTGAGGGGACAAGCCTCCAGTCTCGCCATTATGCAAGATGGTAGTTGTCAGGTTTTTGTAGCTGCCCTTTAGCAGGTGACAGAAGCTTCCTCTCCTAGTTTGCTGTGAGTTTTTTGTCGTGAATGGTATGTCCCTCTCTCGGTGTGTCCTTCCATGTCTGTAGCTCCCTTTGTCTCGACATTCCTCAACTCTGTCTCTCTCCATCTCTGTGTCTCACTCTCTCCATGTCTCTGTTTCTCTCTTTTCTGTCTCTCTCTCTCTGTGTCTCTTGCTTTCCCTCACACGAGGGGTGTGGCCATCGGAAGTCGAGTTTAGGGGGTGGCACCAGTGTCCTGGTTCCGGCCAAGGCCACCTCCGTAAACACAGGACATCCTGCAGGGCTGGGGAAGGAGGCGGAAGCCTCTCCTTGGGGACCACCCTCTCTCCACCCAGCCTGAGCCGAGCAGGAGCCGGGTTCCCCGCCGTGCAGCCGAGGGAAACCGGTAGCTCCCTGACCCCCATCCTTTACGCCTGCGCCCGATTCCCGCCCTCTCCACTGGGCTCCTGTCCCAGGGGCCTAGCTGCCTGGGTGCCTTCCCCTGGCTGTCCCCTTAGTCCTTTGCACCCACTATGTCCATCTCTGGCCTCAGTGTCAACCCCAGATCTGCTTCTCCTCCTGGGCACCATCCCAGGGTGGCCCCACCATCCCCTGGTCTCCTGGCTAGAGCCCTGGGTCTCATCCTAGGCCCCTCGTCCATCACAGCTCATCACTCCCACACAGCCTGTCCTCTCTAGCATCTCCCCCTCCCCCCGCACCCCTGCCCCTTGGCTGCTCTGTTCCTCCCGGCCTCCCCTCTGGGCTCCTGGCCTCCAGTCTCACCTTCCCACCGCCACGTCCACATGGCAGCCAGAGAGAACACTTTTTACCTCTAGATCCCTTTACCCCAGTGCCTTCAGAGTAAAGTCCCCCATCCAGGGCCTTGTGCATCCTGGCCCCCGCCAACCCTCAGCCCCATCACTTACCTTACTGCTTTCCCCTCATCCCAGTCAGACTCAGCAGCTTAGAGACCCCTGGAAGCTTGTAGGGTCCCTCCCCTCCTAACCCTTTGCACATGCTGTTCCCTCTCCCTTGAACACTCTCCCTTCAGAACAACCCTCTGAGGCGGGTGCATGACTGTTCCAGTGTAAGGATGAGGACCCTGAGGCCCAGAGAAGTTAAGTACTTGCCTAGAGTCACACAGCCAGAGAATGGCAAAGCTAAGTTTCCAACGCAGGTGGTCTGACCTTCGGCATGACCTTCGCTCTGTAGCTTATTGCATCCGTGATCATTGACGAGGCATCATTAGATTTCTGCACCGGGAATGCACAGCATAGGTGCTCAGTAAATCTTCACTGAACGGATGAACGGGACAGGGCTGGAAGGTGTGCTTTGGGAGGTGCAGAGGTCAGATCCCAGACGACTGGGATAAAATCTGTGCCCAGGGCGGGGGAGAGATGTGGTCAGCAGGCACAAAGTAGGTACTTATAAATTCATCTTTGCCGAATGAGGGAAAGAAAGAAGGGAGGGAAGGAAGAAAAAGAGACCAGGGTGAGTTGGCCACGGATCTCCCAGGCATCGGAGGAGAAAAGTGTGTGTATGTGGTGGGGGTCCCTGTGAAGGCCGTGGAGGGGCGCTGGCCTAGGGAGTGTCGTGGCGGGCACACACAGAGACTCCATGAAAAGCAACAGCGGCGCCAGGACTGGCGGCTCAGCTAGGAATGGTGTGGGCCTGGAATCTGCTGGCCGAGGTACTGCGGCGTCCTGGGGTTGAGCCTGAGGGCGGAGGGGCCCAGAAGAGCCAGGGAGCCTGC